AATTCAACCAAGGACACATATAGAGCAAGCAGAAATATGGAATACATACCAGCATTACACATATTGGATCTGAATGTAAATAAAATAAGCCAAATGGTCTTTATGTGTATGTGTGCCTTTGTGTGTATATATGTCTGTATGTTGAAATGTCTTGAGGACAGATATATCATGTTTGATTGGTAGTCTTTTAAACTTAAAATTTTATTCTATACCTGTTGACTGGTTATGTTCCCTTCATTAAAAAGTACAACACTTTTGTATACTTTCTAATTTAAAATGAACTACAAACTCTCTGAGATATTGATGCATTTACAGGTGAGGAAAATGAGGCTCAAAGAGGATAGGAGACCTGCACAGCTAGTGGGTGAATGAGTGGAATTGGAATTAGAATCCATGTCTTTCTGAATTCAAATCCCATACTCTTTCCACTGGCCCGTTTTGTGTTTATGAGTAAATCTGTTGGAATTCATGTTTTTTTGTTTTTGTTTTTTTACTTCTTGAATATACAGTAATTTATTTTCAGAGAAGCAACCTGATGCAGTTGACAGAGCATCAACCTAATACAGGGTTGGCAAACTATAGTCTGTGGCCCAAATCTAGCCACTGCCCATTTTTGTAAATAAAGTTTTATTCGAACACAGTTATGCTCAATTGCTTATTTTTGTCTATGACTGCTTTTGTGCTACCATGATAGAGTGGAGTAATCATGACAGTGACTGTGTGACCCATAATGCATAAAATAATTACTATCTGGCCCTTGTCAGAGAGTTTGCTGACCCTTGGTTTAATGTATAAAGGGATCTGAATTCGCCTATTAGTTGTCCTGTAATTCAGTTCTAAACTTTGGTTGAATCTTTAATTTCTCTGTGCCTATTTTTGTAGTGATAAAATACGAGTAGGTAAACATAATCTGTGTGAAGCTTTCCACATCTGAAATTCTGTCATTTAATTAAAGCTGTAATCTGATTTTTAAAAAATCAGCATAAATCAGTTGAATGAAGAGTTAAAACTATTTTACACTCGTTTTAAATCTGTGAGTGACAAAGTGGTCTAATGATTTTTTTCTTTTGTAGAAGTACTTCTGCAATCCTAAATAGGTTCATGCTCTGAAATTAACTTAGAAACTTAACTTGTGTGTGCCCTTTGCTTTTACACTTTGTAGCATCTTTTCATCCAAAGTCAAAAACTTGATCAGAAATCATTTTAATTTAGGCTCCAATGGATAAAAATATTATAAAGTTATAAGTTTGATATTATCAACTAAATATTCAGAATCTAGTTGGTTTGCTAACTTTTACTGACAAAGTTGCATGCCATTTAAAAAGTAGGATCCAAAATGACTGTTTCAAAGATAGCATACCAACTTTGAAATTCTCTTCCAATTTTCTAAATAAGAATAGGAGATTTCACTCTGCATTTAAGTGATGGAAGTGCATTTAATTATGTAAGCAATTACTATAACTTAATACATGTGTGTGAATGTGAACCTATATTACAAGAGTAGATGAACATGGATGGTCTCAAAGCGAGATCACTGCCACTAAATAGCAGTTTTAGAGTCATTTTTTTTT